CGATCGTCGGGGCGCCACTGCAGTGCCTGATGGGCCCTGCGCTTCTTGCCAGATTCCCACTTGGCGTTATCGACTGCCCACTGCTTCTTGTCGACTTCCCGGGCCTCGATCGCGCCGTAGCCGATGGCAGCCTCAGCCCCAGTCCGCTGGAGCTCGTGGTAAGGCGCTGTCACCAAGTGGTGGATCACCGCGTGAACTGCCTCATGGAATGAGTTGCGCGCCTTGATGGTCTGGCCGCGCTTGCTGCCCTGTCAGCCAAAGGGGCACTTCCCACCCTGCATAGTCCACCTCGCGTTCCCCCCTGCTGCCGCTTCCGCGGCCCCCGCGGCTCCTGCCGACTGAAGCTCGGCCGAGGAACGCGACGTGGCGGCGACGGGGGGGGGGGGGGGGCGGCGAGCGACCCCAGCGCTGCTCGAGCCAAACTGCTTATTGTGCAAAAAACGGTGCGGCTGTTTTATGCGGCTTGTTTTCTGCATTGCCACGTTCGCACGCCATGCGACCAGAGACCGCAAGCGCGCCAGCACGCACGCGCAGGCGGATAAACCGCCACGGCGGTTGAGCCGCCGAAGAAGTACACGTCGTGTTCCTTTGCGCCGAAGAAGCGCATGTCACAGGAACCCGCTGGCGTCATGTGGATTGGCCGCCCGCCGCTGCTGAGGCCCGCGGCTCGGCGACGGCGCCCGAGGCGCTGGACGCTTGGCCGTGGGCATGTGCGCGTCCTTGTCCTTACCCTTGTCCTTGCCATTGCCCTTGTCCGTGTCCTCGCTGACGACCTCCTCCCTGGCACGCTTGTGCTTGCCCTTGGCGGCGTCCCCGCCCGAACCTTTGTCCTTGTCCGTGGGGCGCGCGATCGGCTTGGGGGTGAACGGCGTCAGCTTGGGCGTCGGCGCGCGCGCGCCTTGCTGGTCGGGGGCGCGACCGTCGGCGGCAGCGCCCTTGGCTGCGAGGCCTTCGGCATGCCGACCGCCAGCACGCGTGCGACCCCCGCGGACTTGCTCGCGCGAGCGGCCCTGTCCTCCTGGAAGGCTTGGGCGCCTCGCTCCTGGCCGAACTTCGCCACGAAGCTTTCTAGCCGCAAGCTGCGGCGCTCCTCCTCGTCCTCGAGGACTGCTTGCGCGCCGCGCTCCCCGCCGAATTTTGCCGCGAACTCGGCGAGTCGCACGCCGCGGCCGCCGCGGGAACCCCGCCGGCCGCTCTTCTCCCTCCAGGCTTGGCCCCTCCACGCTTCAGGCCCCCCCTGGAGCGGGCCAGGGGGGCCCCGCTGCTGGAACTTGCTGCGGCAGTTGCATGTGAAGGTCAGCGTCTTCTCGACGTTGATGACGACGGGGTCGTTCTGGTCCACGGCGAGCGGGTTCGCGGCCAGGAGCAAGGCTTGGGAACCCCCAAACCGGGTGGTGAGATACCAGGTGGCGACCTGGAATCCCCAAAAAGGTCACCGCTGGGTTTGGGGACACGGGGTCACCACCGGGTTTTGTGACTCCTGGACCCACCAGTGTCCGGGACATCCTCGGAAAACCGCACGAGTCCCCAAACCGGGTGGTGACGCCAAATCGCCCGAGATTCACCGCCAGGTGTTGTCACCACCACGTTTGGGGATTACCAAAAGGCTACCCGAGCGAAGTCGGGATCGCTTTCCATCAGGCTGTTGATGCGGTCTGGCGCACCTTCGGGAAGGACCTGCTCGCCCGCCTCGACCGCCCTGTCCTCAAGGACGTTGTCGACAGCGCGCCCCAGGCCTGCAACGTCGACCTCGGAACGGCCGACCTCGGACATGCCGGCCTGCACCTCCGGAGTCGCCGACGCAGCGGAGCTCGAAGCCGCAGGCTCCTTCCTCCAGCGGGCTCTCGCGGACAGGCGCCGCGTGGCCAGATTCCTCGGGCGCTTTCCTGAGACTGCCGGTGGCGCGCGGCCGTTCAACGCCCATCTCGTCGAACGCACCGTCGGCCGCCTCGCAGGAGCTCTGGAGGTCTTCGAGGGCAGACTTCCGCGGCGCCGCCGTGTCGCCCTCGCGAGCCCGGCGCGCGCGCGCAGCCCTGGGCCCAAATGACTATGGCATGGCATTGCGCTTGACTGAATCTCCTCTCCCTGCAAGCAGAGTGTCCATCCCTCCCACCCCTGCTCGCCCCCCCATCCTACGGACTCCGGTTCGTCCCATCCCTCGAGCTCCTGCTCGGACCTCCCTGGCCCTTTGCCTCGAACGGCGAACGACGACGCGGCGCAATCTCGAGACGTAGCGGGTGATACGCTGACACAATGCCGCCACCAGCGGGTGATCCGCTCTTTTTCAACCTTTTTTCTCGCATAGCCCTGGTTCGCAGAGGGATCCGAAGAGTTCACCGAATGTCGCCCTAGAGAGCGGGCTCTGTCACGAGCGCGTGCAGCGCGCACCAGAAAGGGAAACGCAACATCGATGCCATCCGTAACGCTACCCACGTCATGGCTGCACTGTGCTGTGCACCCGTGCGCGTTACGCCGGCGGCTACGCGTAGCCGTCAGCCCCTTTCAATTGTCGGCCAACAACCGAGTCTTGATCCACTTCTCGGCAGCCTTCTAGGACGCCTCCTTCGTGTAGCCAGTGTTCGGCCCCCACTCAAACGCCTTGGTCGAACCAGGGCCCCTCCCGTAATGGGCGACACAAAGGCTGCGTGTGTTCTCGACGCTGATTTGGGTCGCCACCGCAGGCTTGTCAACAAGGGCCGCCGCCGGCTTCTTCATGCACTTCGCTTTGGCCTTCGCCTTGGCCCTCGCCTTGGCCTTGCTCTCCGTCTCCTGCTGCATGGCGGCGTTCACCTGCACTGCCGCGTCCTCCACCGAGCCCGTCTTCTTCTGTTTCTTCGCCCTCGCGGCCCCTTCCGAGGCATCCGCCGAGTGGGCGTCCCTCGAGGGCGAACTGCTGGGGCTGAAGCTTCGGCCGCGGCTGCTGCTGCTGCTGTTGCAGCTGCTCCTGGAGCTGCTTGACCTGCAGCTGCGGGTTGCGGTTCTGCTGCTGCTGCTGCTGCTGCTGCTGCTGTAGCTGCTGTTGGGTCCGCTGCTCGACGTCGGTCGGCGCGAGCTGCCCTGCGGCTGCCGTTGCCGCCGCCTGCGCGCCGGCGAGGCTGCGCGGCTGCTGCGCGACGAACGTCAAAGTCGCACCGCTCGCGAGCCGCCCTTGCGGAGGCAGCGCCTGCCCGGTGGCCTGCAGAGCCCGCAGCATGCCGACCTCTGGCGACGAGGGCGAGCCCGTGCCCCTCTCCCGCCACTTGAATGCGGGACGGGAAAATGACCACAGCCACTGCTTCTTGTTTGCGCCGCCTTCCAGCCGGCCGAAAAAGAAACAGTGGTTGTGGTCATTTCCCTGGTGCCGAGCTCGACGAAAATGACCACACCCACTGCTTTGTTTCTGCGGGCTGGAAGGCGGCAACGAAAGAAGAGCAGTGGCTCTGGTCGTTTTCTCGCCCCGCATTGAACGATTTAGCCACGGCGCAGACGTCGACGAAAGATGCTCCGATGTTCGCAGGGGCGCCGTCGCCGTGCGCAGCAGACCACGTGGCGGGGAGCGCAGTTCGCAACGCGTCGGGGTCGGCAGGGGGCGCCGGCACCCTCTCCAAGGGCTCTGCTGTGGCCGTGCCCTTCCAAATCGTCTTGATATGGTCAAAGGTATACTTCAGGACGCTGGTGGCCATGGCGCGGGCCGCCGGGGCACCATCTGCACATGTCAGCACCATTGCCGTCACGTGCGCGATGGTGCCCCTTCTGACGGGCTCTCGAGGCCCAGATTCGACGAGAGGAACGGGGGCACGGCGCGAGCTCTGTGCAACGCGTCCCCACTGGGCGCATCGAGCACGGCCCACGCCTCACGCCTCATCACCCAAGAAGCACGGGAAAGGCTCGGAGTCCCGCGACTTCCACGGCCGTGCACAAGACAGTGCTCGTGGCTGCCGTGGCCGGGGCATCCTGCAAGAGCTGGGCGTCGGCAGGCGCGAAGCCGCCCTGCTGCGCCAGGCCCGCGGGGCGAATGCGCAACTGACCCCGCGGGCGCGCCTGTCCGACGAGCTCGACCAGCCGATCAACCTTCAGGAAGGGAAAAAAACACACACAGCCACAATGCATCGTCCATTCCCAGGAAACTATAGGAAAGTATGGGAAGTGGGGGGGAAGACAAAAGCCTCGAAAATGTTAGAACATATGGGGAATCCGGTGATTTGCGTGTATTTACTTGTGTGTCCTGGGGCCCCTTCACGAATGGGCAACTGACCCCGCGGGCGCACCTGCCCGCCGAGCTCGACCGGCCGAGCAGCCTGCGCACTCGGCGCCTGCCTCCGCGCGGCCTCTCCCTGGGCCAAGGCATCGCGCAGCAAGGGGCCAGCCCCCCTTCCGCCCGCTGTAGGAGCTCCTGCCGGGGCGCCGTGGTGGGGAAGGCACCGCGAACGACGCGCCGCGGCCCCGCGGCAGCCTCGGCCGAGAAGGCTGCGGTAAAAAAACGTTGCGGGCGGGCGGGGCGAGGAAGAGGGGAGAGGCGCGTGATCCGCCGAAGCAGGAGCAGATGGTTCGCCCGCCGAAAGCGATGATGGTGAAGCGGTTGACCGGGGGGGGGGGGGAAATGCGGCTGATCCGCATAAGGGGGGGGGCGGGGGATGCGGTTGATCCGCACAGTGGGCGTGGTGAGGGAGGGATTGCGGCTGATCCGCTGAATGAGGCGGTCGATCCGCCGAGAAAAGCATGCATGCGGGAAGGAGGAGGAAGGCGGGTGATCCGCTGAAGCGTGGAGGAGGCGGGGGAGAGGCATGATGAGAAGGAAGGCGGTTAACCCGCCGATCAGGGAGACCATGATGATGATGGTGATGTTTTGTACTTGTAAGTGAATCCTGTGCGCCTTGTCGGATGTCAGCCGCTCGACCCCCAGTCGACCCCGTACAGTGTTTAAACAGCAGTCGATCAGGCAAACTTGTTTCAACATTTGTTCCCCGCAACTGCGGTGGCTCAAGCTTCAAAGGCTCGTGCCGCCATCCCGAGCGTCGCGCATGTGGGACTGGCTGCTCCAGAGGGGCCCCAAGTATTTGGCCCAGGGCGTCGTCAACTACGCGGCGCGCTGCCCTGCCATCCCCGCCTGCCCGCAGGCGATTTGTCCGCCCTGCCCAGGGCTGACCTGCGGGGACTGTGTGGTGCCGGCGTGCCCGGCGTGCCCAGCCTGCCGGCCGTTCACGGTGCCGGCGGGTGCTGCCGCCTTCGCCGAGGCGGCTGGCGCTCGCGAGGAGGCCGCGGGCTGCGCCGAGCCTGGGCTGGGCTACCTCGCCTACCTGATTTTCTTCCTCGGCGTCGTGGTGGGCGGCGGCCTGGCGACTGGAGGGCTTGCAGTTGGCGGGCTGTTGCGCCGGCTGTGCCGCAGGCCCGTGAAGGACGAGGTCGGCGAAAATGAGTTGGAGTTACGTCCTGCACGACGTGGAAGGCCAGCCGCTCTGGCACCAGCGCCGGGTGTACGGGGTGGTGGCACACTCGGGTGGCAAGACCTACGTGGCCGCTACCGCCGACGCCCACGTCTACCCGGAGGACTGGTCGCCGACCTCGGAGGACGTGCTGGCAGTTCGCTGGTGCAGCGAGTATCGTGACCTGCCAGCTGGTGTGGCCAGGAATCGGGCGTACCGCTTCCGGCGGGGGCCGACGGCCGCGCGGGACGCCGCCTTCCGGCAGGCCGCCGAGGACGAGGCCGAGGCAGAGGGTCGGCGCCTGCTGGCAGCGGCGGGCGGCGCGGCGGCGCCGGCGGGCTTCGTGTGGCTGCTGCCGATCGACGCCGCGGGCCGACTTGTGGGCGGTGCCGGCGGGGCTGGGGCCATCGTACCTGCAGCCGCCGGCGCTCCGGGTGCTGCACCTGCGCCGGGAGCGGCCGGGCCTGCCGCAGCCGGCGCCGCCGGTGCCCCCGCGGCGGCGGCCGCGCCTCCGCCCCTGCTGGTGGGGCCCTTGCAGGGCGTCGCGCCGGCAGCGCCTGCAGCAGGCGTCGGCGCCGCTTGGAGGGCCGCCGAGAGCGGGGGCGGCTTCCGATTCGGTGACCCTGTGCCCGGCCACGTGCGGAGCGGCCAGGCGATCGGCTCGAAGGATTTCCACCTTTTGCCGGACGGGACCGCCCTGTTCGTCGAAGAGGTGACAGCAGCGACCGAGGTCGCCTTCTTCGACAAGGGGTCTTCGGCGACGCTCGCATCATGGCGGTGCGACGCAACCGCCAGGGGCGGCGCGAGCGCACCTGGCCGGAGATGGTCGCCGCCGTGGTGCAGGAGGTGTTCACCAACGACTGGGACTTGCCCGGGCCGAGGTCCGTGCTGTGGTGCCTGGAGTTCATCAACCACGAGGGGCTCGGGCTCGATGGGCACCACGAGAGGTTCCGGGTCCTTTGCAAGCTGGAGTTCTCGAGTTGGGGCGTGTCCGAGCATTACAACATCACGCAGGCCTTGAAGTTCGGCCTGCTTCACGACCAGGTGGACGGCACCAATTTGATGATGATGGTAGAGTCCATGTTCCGACGGCTTCAGACGATCGAGTTCGCGCACTCGGGGCGGGCTCGCGAGCAGGAGTCCAAGGGCTACGGGGGGAAGCTCAGCCTCGAGGAGCAGATGGCCTTTGCGGGCACCGCCCGCGCCGGCGGCTCCCTGATGATCTGCCCTCTCTTTCTGGATTACGTGCGGGGCGAGGTCGAGCGCGAGGCCTCGCTTGCCGAGAACTTGCGCAAGGCCCGAGAGGAGCGAGATGCTGCCCGGGCCAATGATAAGACCAAGAAGGACGCCGGGTGAGAGCCTTTCTTCGAGGCTGCGCCCGGTTGCGCGGGCTGTGGGCATGACGGGGCCCTCAGCTCCGCGCGGCCCGCCTGATGCAGGCGCGCCTGAGCTATCCCGACCTTCGAGTGATCCTGTGAGCCGCGCCCCGGGGCACACGAGCGAAGCTTGTCAATTAGTCCCCCCCCTCCGCCTTCTTCGCCCCCCCCCCTCTCTTCTTGGGATGACTGGATGCATGGCCCGAGCCGTCGAGTGCCGCGTGAGTTGTTCCCCCTTCCTCGTCCTGAGGTTTTCAGGGTCGACCAGGCGCGGGCTAACGAGATGTCTCGTGGCACGCGGCAGAGGTTGTGTAGGCGCCAGGCCGAAGAGCGCGAGGTTGACCGGGCGCTCTGGGGCCTTCACTCGCTTTACACGCATCAGCCGCAGCCCCGCGACCGCACCTCCCCGGGCAAGGGGCCCGAGCGGGGTGCCGAGTGCGGATCCTATCATCTTTTTTCTGCCGGTCAGGCCGGCGTGCTGGATCGTGTCCGACGCGCCGTGCGCGACCTTGGCCCTCCACCTGCGGGGGCCTCCCCCGCTGAAGTTCTCAGGAAGCTTCGCGTGGCGAGCTGGTACGACGTGGACAGTACTACGCTCGGTCGCTACTCTCGCGCCGACGTCTCACTGCCTTCAGGCGCCGTCAGGCCGGTGCCTGTGTCTGAGCTTTGGGGCGAGGGCGGGTGCCAAATGGTAGAGGACTTCTGCCGCTTGAATGTCGCTCCGCCGGAACAGTCGCGAGCCCGACTCCGGGCGTCAGGTGTGGTCACCCCCTACTCCGATCCCAAGCTTAGGCACCCTCGCGCCTTTGAAGAATTCATGTCGGCGTTGGCCGCACGCGGAATGCTAGATTTCTCGCGCGAGGATGGTGAACGAGTGGAGCCGCTTTTTGTCACCAAAAAGAATGGCAAGCTTAGGCTTGTCGTAGACTGCAGGCGTTCAAACTGTCATTTCACTGAGGCCGGTGGGCTCTCGCTCTGCACCGGTGAAGGGCTTGCCGCCATCGAGCTGGGATCCGACGAAGATATCTTCGTTGGTGGTGCGGATTTGAGTGATGCGTTTGACCACATGGGGCTCCCCAAACCCCTTAGAAAGTATTTCACTTTTCGGCCTGCGCGGGCTGCGTCTGTAGGGTGCACGGAGATTGGGGGTCGAGCTGTGGCTGCACATGAGAAGGTATACCCTAGGCTCGCTGTCATTCCCATGGGATGGTCTTGGGCTTCATGGATGCGCCAGAAGATACACGATAGGATAGTCGAGGCAGCTGGCTCGGACCCCAAGTTTAGGATCACCGACAAGACGTGCGCTCCGGACCTCAGCCAGCCGTGCCACACGCAGTATGTGGGCAACTACATTGCGATCTCGACCGACCGGGACAACGTGAAACATTCGGTGTCGTGTACCATCGCCGCTCTGGAAAGTCGGGGACTCGTCGTTCATGAGGAGGATCATGGTGGGGAGGAGGGTACTACTGCCAAGTTGCTGGGTTGGGTCATCGATCGAGGGAGTGGGCGACTCGCTGCTTCCCCGGATCGTCGGTGGCGCGCTCGGCTTGCTATTCGTGCTCTTCTCGCTCGTGGTCGGGCCAAAGGTCGAGATGTTGAAAAGCTTCTCGGGCACCTGGTTTTTTATCTCCTTGGTTCGACGGGAGGGTCTCAGTTTGTTCTGGAGTTGCTATGGATTTATTCACAAGCATTACGACAGCGACGTTGCCTTGTGGGCCTCTGTTCGGCGTGAGCTCAGTATCTGGGACTCTATCTCTCCACTCCTTTATCGCGATCTTCGGGCCGCTTGGGGGGACGAGGTTATCGCGGTTGATGCCAGCGAGTGGGGCCTCGGGGCCTGCTCGAGCCGCTGCGGATCTTCGCTCTGTTCCCAGGTCGGCCGCACATCCGAGAGGTGGCGTTGGGGTCGCGGGGGCGCTTTCGGGGGTCCTCGTCGCCATGCTGGACGCTGGGCTCGTGAAGCTGCCGCGGCGGCGGCCCTTGAAGGGTCCGCCGAGGAGGCCGCCCCTTGGATGTGCGGCCCCGATGATTTTCCTGAAGTTCCCAGGGAATTGATTGAGCAGGATTGGAGGGTGGTGGGCCGTTTCGAGTGGCGGAAGAAGGGCGAGAGCATCCCGGTCCTGGAGGCCCGCGCTACCCTGCACGGCTACAGGCATCTTCTGCGTAGTCGTCGGAATCATGGTAAACGTCTCGTTGTTTTGGGAGATTCGATGAGTGTGGCGGGAGCGGTGTCTCAGAGCCGCAGTGGGAGCCGTGCGATGCTGTACTTGACGCAGAGCATCGCCGCCCTCTCCCTGGCGACAGGCTCCTCTCTCCACTACCGCTGGCTCCCCTCCGAGTGGAACTCAGCCGACGGGCCCTCAAGGGGGCGTTGGCGGCCCGCGGCGCCCTCGGCGCTAGCCCCGCGCGATGCTCGCGCGCGCGGCCCCGGCGCCTGCCAGCGCCGTGGCGCTGGAGCGGGCGCTGCCGACGGGACTGCTGCCACGCGGGCCCCAGGCGGATGTGGCCGCTCCGCAGGCGCTGGGCCAGCCGCCGCGCGTGGCGTCGGCGCCGACCTCGAGCCGGCCTACGTCGTCAGGATGTCTCCGAGTGCCGCCTCAGCTGCCCCCCCGGGCTCGGTTGGGCCCAAGCGCCGCAAGGTGAGCCAGCGAGCCTCGCGGGCTGCGGCTCGGCGGCCAACAGCTGCGCGGCTGCCGGGCATGACTGTGCTGGAGGCGGCGCCCATCAAGCCGAGGACGCGGGACCGTTACCAGGAGGTCTTCGCCGACTTCCTGGCGTGGGCGAACGGCCGTCGTCTGACGACCGAGGACCTTGTGGACCAGGCGATCGCGGAGTGGCTGGGCGACCTCTACCTGGGCGGCGAGGACCTGAGTGCAGGATCCTGGGCGTATGCGGCGGTGACCTTCTTCACCGGCCTGAACAAAGCGTCGGGCGCGTTGATGCCTCGGTCGCGCCGCGCCCTCCAGGGCTTTGGCAAGCTCGCGCCACCGCGATCTCGATTGCCGATGCCCTACATGGTAGTGGCGATGGTGGTGATGGAGCTCCTGGCCCGACAGCGTTATCAAAGTGCGCTCGCCGTCCTTCTCATCTTCGAGCTGTACCTGAGGCCCGGAGAGGCGTTCCACATCAGGGCGGTGGACCTCGTCCCGCCCGTGGCGAGGGTCAGCGGAGCGGCCCACTGGTGCGTGACTCTCCATGCTGCCGAGACCGAGAGAGAGTCCAAGACGGGCGAGTTCGACGAAAGCCTCTCTCTGGATCTCAGCCGGCAGTCCTTCCTCGGGCCCGCGCTCGACCTGATGTTGAGGCGCCAGCTGGGCGCAGACTGGCGGCGCGCGGAGCAGAAGCACGTCGGCTCCGGCCAGCACCTGGCAGCGCCGCTGTTCACCGTGACGCTCGGCGAGGTGACGAGGGACTTCAAGGTGGCCGTCGAGGCGCTGGGGGTGGAGACCGCCCTGGGCGCCGCCCACATGTACATGCTGCGGCACGGCGGCGCCTCGCACGACTACGCCTCGGGCTGCCGCCGCTTGGAGGACGTGCGCCGTCGCGGGCGTTGGCGTTCGTGGTCCTCGGTCCGGCGCTGCGAGAAGGGGAGCAGGCTGGGTCAGGTCGTTCACAAGCTCGGGCCGGTGCTTCAGGCCCACGGCAAACTTTGCGTCGAGCTGCTGAGCGAGGTGGTGTCTGGCCGGCGTTGTTCTGCACCATTCGCCTCCGGCAGCGCGTCTTCGTCGAGGTCTTCTCGGGCAGCGGCCACCTCTCGGAAGCGATCTCGAGGGTAGGCGTCACCGCCCTGCTGTGGGACATTAGCCTCGGCGAGATGTACGACCTTAGGTGCAGGCGCAATCGCCTCCTTCTCCTTGGGTGGGTGAGGGCTGGGCTGGTGGCTGGCGCCCATGTGGCCACGCCGTGCTCGTCCTTCAGCCGGGCCCGAGACATCCCCCCGGGGCCCCCCCGGCTCCGAAGCGATTCGGAGCCCATGGGCCTTGGGGGGCTGTCCCAGGCCGATCAGGAGAAGGTGGCGGTTGGTAACATGCTGATGCTGTTTTCCGCTTCCCTTATCCGTGAATGCAGGCAGGTTCAAGTGCCGTGCTCATTGGAGAACCCGGCCAGAAGCCGTCTCTGGATTTGCCCTGCTATGCGACGTCTCTGCCGAGCTCGGGGCATCGCTGTTATCACCACCGATTTCTGTCAATGGGGGGTGCCCTGGAAGAAGAGCACCACCTTCTTGTCCTACGATCTTGACCTGGCCGAGCTTGAGGCGGCCAGATGTGTTGGGAGTAAGAGAGGCATCTGTAGGCGTACCGATCTTCCCCATCAGCAGCTCCAGGGCAAAGATCAGGCCGGCAATTTCTACACCAAGCTTGCTGAACCCTACCCTAAAAGGTTGTGTAAAGCTATCGCGGACGCTTATTACAACTCTTGGGCCAAATGTCTCGGGGAGTCCTTTGGGCGCTTTATGCAGTAAAAGGTTACGCGGCTCTGGCCAGTCTGCTGTTTTGGAGTCAACAGTTTTTGCAGGTGCTTGACGTGATTCGGTCGCGGCCTCAAGGAGGGCCGCTTCAATCGTTCTGGTGCTCGCGGAGGCTCGACTTCTTAGACCTCGAGGTTGTCTGGCTGAGAAAGAGACGGGAGCTTGGGATGTTTTGTACTTGTACGTGAATCCTGTGCGCCTTCTCGGATGTCAGCCGCTCGACCCCCAGTCGACCCCGTACAGTGTTTAAACAGCAGTCGATCAGGCAAACTTGTTTTAACATTTGTTCCCCGCAACTGCGGTGGCTCAAGCTTCACCTCCCTTGCCCCGTCTTCCACCCCTGATTCAGAGTTTTCAGCTTGCGTCTGGTTTCGCGCAGCAGGTGCTTGACGTGATTCGGTCGCAGCCTCAAGGAGGGCCGCTTCTATCGTTCTGGTGCTCGCGGAGGCTCGACTTCTTAGACCTCGAGGTTGTCTGGCTGAGAAAGAGACGGGAGCTTGGGATGATAATGGAGAGGAGGAGGGGGGGAGGAGGAGGAGGATATGCATTGTCTGCCGCAAAACAACAGCGCGCAACGGCATCATCAACAAAACGCGCTTAAAAAAACAAGCACTACGCAGCAAAACGCAAGTCCGACCAGAAAAAAGGCACCAACAAAATTCGTTGGCGCCAGGGCAAAACATCAAAGCCGAACCAAGCACAACGACTTACTCAATTTATTAAGTTGTATAATCAGTATGTATGCGTGCATGGTTAAGTCGACGATTGGCAACCTGACATCTTAATTAACGGTACCTATTGTGTATATTTATGTTGACTATGTGTGCTACATCTACAACAACTCTCCCAGCCATCCCAGCGGGAAGGAGTCGAGCCAGACGTCTGGTCGCTGCCTCCTCCATGGTGCCCCCATTCCAGATTTCAGTCGCGCGTGTCCCTCTAGATGAGGAGTCTTCAAAAATAGTCAAGCATAGACAGGGAACGATTTTCTATGATGCTTTGGCTATTATGTTTGAGGATGTGTTTGTCTATGTCACAGAGTTCTTCCAACTCGGCCTAAAGGAGAACATGCCCGACCTATTCCAGATTGGAAAGCTGGCCGAGACCTGTTTACCAGCTGCTAAAACCGACAGCGTGTAACCGTCGGTCGATGAGAGCTGGTATTCTTGGGTTTCCGGCTTCCGCTCTATTCTAGACGCCGTGTTAGTTCAAGCGTCGACGGGTTCTCCATTTTCTTTGGTCTTCAGGGGGCGGGTGCTTATCCAATCTATTTCCAACGTTTTTTCTGCTTTACGTTTCCATTCGCGTGTTCCGTCCGATGGTTGCCTCCACGGTATCGGGAGAGACCTGTGGCCTGAGGTGCTTTGATGAGCACAGCTGAGGAGGCGGTCGGTGCTCAATGTAAGCAGAATCGCTTCGCGACCGCTCTCGTCCCGTCTTCTCCTCGGGAAGGGGGCGCTGCAGTCCCGAACTTGTCCTCGGGCCTCGCACCTGTTTTCGTCGCGCTCGCCTAGGACGCGCCGCCTGAGATCGATCTGGACTGGGACCGCCGATGTCTGGGCAGTGGAGAAGGGGGAGGAGGGAAATGGCAGTGCAGAGGGCTCAGGAGCAGGAGGAGGAAAGGTGGAGGAGGAGGAGGAGGAGGAGGAGGAGGAGGAGGGGCGCCACCCTCGGGGGGAGACGGATTCTCGGCCCTGGCCGTGCTGGTCGTGTATTGCTTCGTGCGGTCTGCCCTGATGGACCCGGGCTCCATCCCCGACGACGTCCAGTGGGAGAGGAGCCCGCCCCCTCCTCCCACCCAGACCCCCTCGAGTCATGAAACAGTCATGGCATGCCGGCAGGTTTTTTCTTACCTTTCGGCCTCCGAGGGCCCTCACCTGGCCTCGGGAACGTCAAAAAACGACTCAGGGTGCAAAGCCGGGGTCGACGCAATGAAAAAAACATTACTCGGGAGCCTTGAGACGGGGGTCAATGCAGACGGGGGTCAGCCAGAGCGCCGGATCCTGCAGGATCCTGCGAAGACCCCCTCTGGCTGACCCGGGTTAGCGAGCCGCTCGTTGCCGCGAGGCGGCCGCGCATATTGGCTGACCCGGGTTTGCGAAGATCACGCCCGAGTGTGTGGGGGGAGTGGCTATTTGGGCTGGCATGGAAGCGGTCGGTTCACACATTGCGGATGTGCCAAGCGCTCCCCGTCGGAGTCTCTTCCCGGAGGGCGCGCTGCGGGCCGCAGTTGTGCTCTTTTGCGTCTCGCTTGGGACTCGCCCGGGCAGTCTTGGATCTTGGACCCATCTAGCTTCGGAGGCCAGTCGGGCGTGACAAAATGAAGGAAGGCGGTGTCCAGGGCGCCGGTCGTGACCCTGGCGGCGTTGCACGCTCAAGCAGCCTCGAACGTGTCCCTGTCCCTAAGATCGACACGCCAAAAAAGGCGATGGCAGTCTCAGGGATGCGCCCTCGTTGGAAACGTTGGGCAAACGTTGGGCAGCGTCGGAACTCCGTCTGCTCCTCCAGCTCCTCCTGCTCTCGGCGGCGAGGAGGCAGCTCCTCCAGCTCCTCCAGCTCCTCCACCTCCTCCGGCTCCTCCTCCTCCAGCTTCTCCAGCTCCAGCTCCAGACCCAGACCTCCTGGAGTCATGAAAAAATCACGACGGGAGGTTTCCCTTAATTTTCAGCCTCAGGGGGCATTCATTGGGCCTCGGGAGCGTCAAGAAACGACCCAGGATGCAAAGCCGGTCCTGGGGAACGGGTCGGGACCTCTGGGGGTCGACGTAATGAAAAAATCATTACGTCGGGGGTTTGGGGAGGGGGAAGCAGAGGAGGAGCCGGGAGCTTGGACCCCTCTGGAGCTTCGACCCCCTCCCCTAGGGGGGGGGCGGGTCGCCCTCCCTCTCGAACCCCCCACTGCAACTCGGGTTGTCGGGAGGGGGGGGGGGGTAACTAGCCTTCCCCGGTTCGAACCTCCCCCTCCATCCTTGGGGGAGGGGGGGGATGGGGCCTGTTTACGGGGGCCCATGTCCAGGGCCCCCTCCCCCCCGGTTTTCCAGGGGCGCTCCATGTTCAAAGCCTCAAAGCATGTCTTTTTGTAGAGGGAGAGGGGGAGGGGGTCGGTTCCAACGTGTGAAGGTATGTTTTTTTTCCAGGGAGGCGTCCACGAACCGCGTTCTCTCTGCGGTTCCGACGCCTCTTCTCAGGAGGAGTTGGAGGATCTCCTCCTCTTCCTCGGCATCCTCCTCTGCCTCACGCGTCCCTTGGTTCCCCTCCTCTGCGAGGAGGCGGAGAAGGAATAGGTGGAGAAGGAGGAGGAGGAAGAGGAGGAGGATGAGGAGCAGGAGGATGGGAAGAGAGCGAGGGAGGCGGCCCTCCGTTTCCTCGTCCTCCTCCTGTCTTGCTCCTGCTCTTATTCCCCCGCCTCCTTCCGTCCTCCCCCTCTCCCTCTTCCAACTCTCCCTCCTCTCTCCCCTCTCCCCCTTCCCTCCTTCCCTCCTTCCTCCTTCCCTCCTTCCCCTCTTCCCACTCTCCCTCCTCTTCCTGGTCCTCCGCCTCCTCCTCCTCCTCCTCCTCCTCCTCCTCCTCCTCCTCTTGAAGGGCATTGGTGGAGGATGGGGAGCGCCTCGTCCCCGCTCGCACCACGCTAGCCTTATGTCGGGCGTGTCCCTCTACAGGGGGATTTCCGACGAAAAATTATCAATACCACAAACTTACACCAGAAAAGGCCAGAACATAATCCAAAAATAGCCCCCATATTATTTGTGGATTATTGTTTGACTATTTTGGGGGCATTTTTTATTTTTCGTCGAAGATTCCCCTGCAGGGGGACAGGCCCGACTTAGCCCTAGCCACTCGTGGACCTCCCGAGCGCTCTCCCGAGGCCCAGCTATCGCCCCCCGCTGCATCCCATTTCTCCTTGTGTACTCCGTAGCTGCATCCCCCCCGCTCCTCTTCGCGCTGCTCCCCCCCATCATGCCCTTCCCTGCCCCCCCTCTGTTTCTGCAGATCGTCCTTCTCGAGTCTCCCTGTCCCGAGGGTGCCCCGGTTTCTCATCTGGTCAGCCCGCTCCATCCCCTCATTTGCCCCTCTCCCCCCCTCTCTCGTGCCCCCTTCCTAACCTTCCCCTCCACACTTCATGGGCAATTAACCTCTTCCTGTCCTCCTTCCCTCCCGCCTCCTCCTCCTTTTCCGTCTCCTCTTCCTCCTCCTCATTCTTCCTCCTCCTCCTCCTCCTCCTACGACTACGACTACTACTACTACTACTACTACTACTACTACTACTACTACTACTACTACTACTACTACTACTACTACTACTACTACTACTACTACTACTCCTACTCCTATTCCTACTCCTATTCCTCCATCCTCCTCCTCCTCGTCCTCTGCTTCCTCCTCCTCCTCCTCCTTCAGCCACGGGGGCACAGGTGCGACGTCATGTGGCGTCATCTGATAATGTAGCTACACTTACTTCTACCGCACACTCCATGGGATGTTGTCGTTTCCTCGCTGCTGGCTGCTGCGTTTCTTGGGAATGGACGTTCCCACTTGCAGGATGAAGAGCAGTGCCAGGGGCCCCCTTAGAGCGGTCTCGCCCGCCTGGGCGGTCCTTTGGCCAGTTTTTTCCCTACCTGCAGGGCGGTGAAACGATACCGCCATCTAACGGCCACCCAGATCCAAACGTTTGATCTTTCGTGCATGCTGTGAGTGTGTATCATATCGCGCTTGCTAGCGAGTTGGCACTTCTTGGATCCGAGGGTTTCATGTTCATGTTCATGTTCTCCTCCTCCTTCCCCCCCTCCACCCCTCTCCGGGCCGCGCCCGCGCCCCGCTGCCGCCAGGGGCGCCGCGCCCGCGGAGGACGCGGTGCAGCCGCGGCGGGGTAGCGTCGCCTCCAGGAGCCTCCCCCGGGGCCCACCCCAACGGGATGCGTTCTGCCCTCTGGGGAAAAACACACACAAATAACACACACGCAACACACACACACACACACGCAACACACACACACACACACTTGTGTGTGTGTTTGTGTGTGCGTGTGTGTTTTCCCCCTGTGTGCGTTGTTTTTCCCACAGTGCTTTTTTCCCACAGTGTGTGTGTGTGTGTTGTTCCGTTCGACTTCGGTTCGACTCCAGTTCGACTCAGGTTCGACGCGGGTTCTGGCCCGAGTTCGGCTCGAGTGCGGCGGGGAGTCGGCGCAGCGTCGAGGCACGAGGGGGGCGAGTGGCTCCAGGACGGGCCCCGGGATGAGCATCCAGCCCCCTCCGTCTCGAGGGCGGCCCCCCTGCCTGTAGGGCGTGCCAGACAGGGCCTCGCCTTCGAGGGTCGGGGGCGTTGGCCTTCGAGGATCGGGGGAGTGGGCCGCCTCTCTTCAGGAGAGGAAAAACACACACAGACACAATTAATCGTCG